GATCTGCTGCGCCGAGAGATTGGGATCGAGGGAGACGGTAAGACTTCGTGCGCGCGGTATAAGGGCTAGAAAAGTACTGCACATCGCCAAGAAATTACATGACACTAACGTAATGTGCAGTTGCATGTTTTTTACCTGAAATATTTGAACCTTTTTATGGGATTCGGATCCTCTCCACTATAGAAAAAAATAGTGGGGGGACCACTACATAATCATAACCATTGATTATCTAGTTGATGGTTATGATTTTTTCTTTTAATACAAATTAGGAATGAGTACAATACACGAGGGTATGGTAAGTATTAGATTTAGATTGTATCATAACCGCCTACTAAATAATCAACGTTTAATATTAAAAGTAGTGGTCTCTCCACTACTTTTTTATAGTGGAGAGGATCCAAATCGAATATTATTTCCTAACCAAACACGTCATTAATGAATGAATGAAAGAGCTAGCAACTAGTCTCCCGGTTAATAGATATTTGTAAGAGCTGTCTATTCTATAGCGACAACTCACTGCCCCCCGCTTGCATTGCAAGCACCTAATAGAAAAGATACTCTTTCTTTTTTCTTATTATTTTTAAAAGTTTTAGTATGTTTTGTTTTTCCTTTTTTAATTTTTTTCTTAATGAAAAATCATAGATACTAATAAAAAAAAATAGTTTCATCTTTGGATTGGATCTCTTTCCTCACTAAAATCAAATCACACCCCAGTTACCAACAAATGACGTTCAATTAGAATTCCGATCCTTTTTATTAAAAACTCATAATCTAACTCATTTCTTAACGTAACATGACGGATCGAACCAATTAATTAAGCCCCTTGTTTTATTTATTTTACTTCCTTAAGATTTCTCTAGCAGACTTGATTTGATTTTGACTCAAATTCTCAGCGTGTCGATCGATCCTTAATTAGCTTGATTTTTATGTGATCTCAACACGCTCTAGCTATTTTCCTACATTTGCGCTTTAATTAATTATTCCGTTGGAAAACAGCATTGTCTCTCAAATTAGACAAAGATTTGGACTTCATCCCCGGCCTGTCCGGCCTCAGAGCCCGCGACCTCCCTGAAGGAATTGTCACCGGCGACATCACCGGAAAATTCGCCACCCTCCTCCACAAAATGGGCCTGGAGCTCCCCAGCGCCACCGCCGTCGCCCTCAACTCCTTCCAAGGCATCAACCCCGACCTCGAGTCCGACTTCGCCGCAAAATTCAAGAAATCCCTCCACGTTGGGCCGCTCAACCTCCTCAACCCGAGCCCG